AATGGTGTTGAGCAAACTAAATGACACTGTAAAGAGGGGAATGTTGGTCTCTAAGGTAGGCCTTGCCGAAGAAACCTTTCAGCTTCTCCTGTTCCATCTCGAAGGCTAATCGATTTAGACAGTCCAATCAACAATACAATACCTTGTGAGACGACAAACGACCTAGCTTCTTTTGAATAGGAGGGCCTGTTTAGAGTAGGACCTGATGTCCACTGGCAGACACAGAAAAGAACGCTATAGATCAGTCTGCCGGCGTGGCAGGTGTTCACCACATTGGAGTTAGTGTGATTAATCTTTTTAGAAACACAAAATAAAATATAGTTCAGAAATTAATGTGGCTTAGATAATCTCGCCTTCGCTTCTGTGAATGTCGACATCAGTACAACCTTGAGGACATTAATGAATTTGATCTTGATGCGATGAAAATAGTTGATCGTTGACTGCATATGCTGGCATCAACAATATTTGTTTGTCGGTAAAAATTTAAATAAATAACATACAACAAAAATTATTCGAAACGAAAAAGAAAAATACCTTTTTTGTTGATTTATGTCACACAGTATCATGAATCAAGCATAATTGGCACCCAACAATTCAAAATTATAAAAACCGAAATAAAAACAGCAGAAACTCTTGTGACAGTAATTTGAAAAATTGCAGGAAAAGAACATAAAAGTACGCATGAGTCTCTTAATATACCCTAAGGGGTCGAAGGTTTAAGGGCCGGTACGCCGCTTGATCTAGTTTATTGCACCAGCCTGGTGTTTCATTCGGTTTGTGGCTCTTGCAAATTAGCTCAGTATATTACCCGCTTGCGCACTTGTAAGAGCAACAAAATTCATTCTTGGTTAGTGATGTGCCAGTATATAGCAGAATAATCGCGTTTTATGAAAACCAGTACTTTGTGACTTTTAAAGTCATTTAAATCAGAGCCAGTCTGGTGTGCCTGCCGGAGTTTTTTACGTTTGCCAACAAGACAGTTTAATTGTCGATTTCGACGATGGGTCCCGTGTACATAACAGCAAGGGGGAGGCAGGGACGGTCACTTGCGAGTGAATTAAGTTATTGTCTTACGAAGCATCTACCACACACTTTTGTCCTCGACCACCCCGATCAAGCGTCAAGACATAGTCCAAACCATCGGAGGCGGTGAAGAAGTCAGGTGCCACGGCGTAAACCCTCACTTAGGCAGACCACTACAATCTCTTTTCCATCACGTATGCTCAATGGGATTTTATATGTCAAAAAAGAGTGGGCGGCATGCGCTTTCTTTGCCGCAATACCCTCCATGGTGGCATTTGTTATGGGTGTGCTTTCTCACTAAAGCCCCCCAACTCTGATTCAGCCCACGTTTTGGTCCATCGCATCTACAGCAGGGCCCGTGATACATCACTGAAGCCGGTCTATCATTCATCTAATCTCGTCAGTAGCAAGTGATTAGACTTTAATAGCTTTTCAGAAATGTGCTTTCCGTCGAAGTATCCCACAGACCCCCTACCATACGCCTGAATGGAACTAACATTATTGTCGTTTTTTGACAAGGGTCGCTTACGGTTGCAAAATTCATAATACACTGACTAAGCAGTGAAAATTATACTAGCACTTTTGGAGACAGTATACACAATTTTTCGCGGCGTAGTATTGCCACAATACTCATAAAATGGATATGTCCATCTTTCTGGATGCCAGGTGTGAAGAAACTACGGTCAAAACGCCTGGTTACTTTAACCGTGACCGCTTAGTAGTAATGTGTGATTCTTTTGGAGGAATGACCATATACTAGTTTTAAACACTTCATCCAAAATCCCTTATTCAGGTAGCATGCACTTCCCTTACACCGTGGAAAAGCAAAATGACAGTTAAAGAATAGCTGCGATATAACAAAAAGTGCTTGTAAATTATGTCTTTCTATGTTATTATCGTCAAGCAATTGTCGCCTTCTTTCCCAGAAGTTAGATTGGCAATTAACCTTCTCTTGCTGAACTTAAGAAATGTTTAAATTTGTATATTACATGTTTTAAAAAAGTTGAATTTCAGCTGGAGATGCAGGGAAGCTACAACGTTGATTTCACCGGTATATCTCGTCGAAATCTTAAAAAGTTTTATTATTAAATGAGCTTGTTAAAAGGATGTATTTAATTGAACTTTCGGAAGTTGTCTACGTGATTCCTGTGTATGTCAGTTTCCTCTTTTGCGCCTTTGAAGGGAGTTATGTCCACTGACAACTGTTGCATATGAATTTGGACCGAGATTTCCTACAAGTATTCTATCGACACGGACTCCATCACCCAGCACTCCAGACACTTTACAGACGTCTCAACCACAGAAGGATGTCCAGTAGCAATAGTCTCCGGTGATTTAAATGTTCACTTTAGGCCTTACAAGATCTGTTATTTGGAAGGTAACAACAAGAGATGTTTTGATGAAATACACCCTCGTTTTAGTAGTTTCAAACTCAGCAGACTCCACCTCCTGCGCATACCCTACAAAAATAATTTTCCGCTTGACCCACGAGACTGAAGAAGGATATGACATGAATTTTGCACTGAGGCTTTGGCGCGGTGTACAACATCCCAACATCCCCTAGCCCTGTACCATAAAATGCCAAATAGGATGCCGTTTTTCCTATTTAACTTTCACTCTCATGCTACGAGTTTGTCACAAAGAGAATGTTTTTGACAATGTTGACTGTCGTTTTACATTTAGGAATGGTGCAATGGTCGTCCAACGACTAACCAAATGCAATTATATCATAGTCAATCTCTATAAGTATACAAGCATTCGCGAAATAGGCAGGATCGCTGAAGGAATAGCCCGATCGCAGAACTCTGGGGTATCCCGCAGACAAGTGGGACTGACAGTGATTTCGCCTTTCCAGCGCGCACAGACCATGATTGGCCGACCAATAAGCCCCTTAACCAATTTAGTGGCCTCTCCTTTATCCCAGACTTTCGGACCTTGCGGAGTAACCGGGGGAGTGGAACACTATTAAAGTCTTCCTTGGAGTCGATTTAAATGATATCTACGCATGCGTCTTCATCTAACGGCCTCGACCATTAATCCAGTGAATGGCAGTCCGTTAAGTCTGAGCCTACAGAATATAAGCATACCCCGAATTTCTGTCGCCCAATAAACATTCCAGGAAATTGCAAAACAGTAAAATATAAACTAATTAGTCTTGAATAAACTCACTTCTTCACTCTTTCTTGATATCTTCTAA